ATAGTGCCGGTTTGTGTCACAAATCGGTACTATAGGTCAGACCCCTTTAGTACCGGTTCATGGCACAAACCGGTACTAAAGGTTAGCCCTTTAGTACCGGTTTGTGACACGAACCGGTACTAAAGGTGATCGTGGGGCCCCTGCCTGACGCCGGCCTGCCATCACCCCTTTAGTACCGGTTTGTGACACGAACCGGTACTAAACGTTCAACACGAACCGGCATTAATGCATAGCCGTTCGAACCGGCACTAATGGTACCATTAGTACCGGGCTAAAATCAAACCGGCATTAATGTGTCTTACATTAGGTCTTTTTTCTACTAGTGATGCTACTTTGATTTGGCTTCTTATCAAGTCATAACTTTTGGACCGACAGAAGCTCATTTGCCAATTATCAAGTCATTGTTTGTGCTGATTTCTAATTTTCTATAGCAGAGTGATGTGAGGCCATTACACAAAAGAAAGAGTTATATGTGCCCACTGTCAGACACGCCTTTTTCTAGGGTTGCGGTGACAAGGATGGGTCGAGCAACAGTAAACCAAACTTAGAGGTTAGTAGGATGGGCCTATATTGTATGCGCTTACGGCAATGTCTGTCCTATAGGCCGGACCCCCAGGCTTTAGAGCGACAGGTCACAGAGCCCATACCATGTTCGTATTCAACACATAGCCGAGTGAGTACCGAGGCGTACATGTTCTTTCCCTACACATAAAAAAGGTAACATGTTCTTTGAAGAAGTGAACAGTAACACCAATATCTCTGATCACAAAAAGAATGTTCCTTTTATCTTGCAAATAGTAAATAAATGAAGGAAGTTAATAGCAAACTCGATTGGCTCTCGGGTGCCAGTGCGCTCGATTTTTCTAAAAGAAAATTAGTAAATGCAAGACAGGTTTAAAATTCCTGAATTTTGTTGGCAACAAACATGATCAGTGTTATACTCGTGTAAAAGTGTCGCCAAAGAATATGCAAAAATCAGGAAGCGGATTTTGGCTCTAGGGAGCATATGCTCCCTAATGAACAGTAAAATCAAAGTAATTAGTAAATAATTTTTAAAAAATTTGATTTTTTTTAGATGTTCATACTAAATGTAGCAAGTGTGCTTGACAATTTTCATGTCATATGGGATAGCAATGGTTCGTCGGTGAAAAAAAAATAAGTGTAACTTTGGAGTTAATATTTGGCTCTCGACTTGTTTTTTTTTTTGCACAGGTCAAAATTCTTAAGTTTTCCCCTGGAAATTTGCATGTACTATTTGGATGTGACAATGAACACATCTATTTCTTAAAAAAAGACATTTGTAAAAAGCCATTTTTGTCACGCAGGACCATGTGCTCCCTATAGCCAAAATGGATTCCCGTGAAAATCAACACTATATACAAGTTACTATTCACACTTTTCGTCCTTGAATTGGCTAGGAGAAGATGTAGGGAAGGATGGGGAGAAGAAGAACGACAAGTATCCTTTCTGGCAATAGCATGAATGGTGTGTGGGCTAGAGGTGGAGCTTATTGAAGGCTAGGAATGCGTTCAGGTTGCCACTCGCCTTCCACGTTAGTGTGCATTTATAAAGTTGAATGGACCTTCAAGAATAATCTTGTGTCAATGGGCTAGTTATTTGTTGTTTTGTGTCAATAGTATTTGTTAGTTTAACCCACTCTATTAGATTATAAATATGAAGAAAAAATCATCCTTATTGCAATGCACGATGAAGGTGAGGTGGGCGCCATCCAATTTTAACGAAGATGCACTACTAGAAAAAGGGCTGCTAGTGGCGCACCTATTTTCGCTACTAATGGCGCACTACAGGTGCGCCACTAGCACCACGCCATTAGATTTTTTTTACTAATGGCGCACCGGTGTTGCGCCATTAGTATCTGGTATACTAATGGCGCACTTGTGAGGAGTGCGCCATTAGTAGCAATATTTTTTAAAAAAATAAAAAATTTCAAATTTATTTCAAAAAAAATATATTTGTTCTTAATCTCGGGTCACTATGGCTTAATCTCGGGTCAAATCACACTCTGTGGTCAAACTTTCCGGAAGGTCACCCATCCTCACACTACTCCAGCCCGGTCATGCTTAACTTCGTAGTTCTATCATACTATCATATCAATCATATTAAACCTTGCTGATGTCTAGGACTTAGTTCATGAGTATGATGAAATTTTGAAAAAATATTTCAAACTTCCCGGTCATATTACGTATCATCTTTTGAAAAATAATTCAAATTTTTTTTGAAACCAATTTTTTTTCTGTTACTAGTGGCGCACCTAGCATACGGTGCGCCACTAGTAAGTTTGAAATTTTTTTGCCTTAGGATCTTAAAAGCCACGTAACTTTTTTTCTGTTAGGTTTTGGGGATTTTGAAAATGTTTAACGGGGTTCCCCAGTTAAATTTGGATGTAATTTTTTGAGTAGATGATTTTTCATATAGAAAACTTTTTAATCCGAGTTCGTATGCAAAAGCTATGCTCATTTTACAAATTCCAGAGAGATTTTGCAAATAAAGTCGAAATTCATATTTGTAAATTTTCCCAACAACTAGACCACATATCACATGAGAAACTTATTTTCTTTTAATTTTTTGACATTTCCATCAATTTTTTTTATTTTTTTAAACTGAAAAGGCAGTCCAAGGGGGGGTGCATTCGGTGGAAGTTTTGGGCCAAGTTAGTAATGGCCCACCGTGGAAGTGGTGCGCCATTGCTAGTTAAACTAGTAATGGCGCACCACACCCACGGTGCGCCATTACTAAGTTTTTTTCAAAAAAAATTCAGAACTAGTAATGGCGCACCAGTGGACAGTGCGCTAACTAGTAATGGCGCACTGTCCACTGGTGCGCCATTACTAGTTTTGAAAAAATAAAAATTTGAAAAAAATTTACTAGTGGCGCACCGTGGATGTGGTGCGCCATTACTAGTTTAACTAGTAATGGCGCACTATCCACTGGCGCGCCATTACTAGTTTTAAAAAAAATGAAAAAAAATTTGTTACTAATGGCGCACCGTGGATGTGGTGTGCCATTAGTATTTGGACACTAATGGCGCACCTACACATTGTGCGCCATTAGTATATACTAATGGCGCACCACATGTCTGGTGCGCCATTAGTGGCCATATCATTTATAGCCCTTTTCCTAGTAGTGAGGGTTCCAGTGAGAAATGTCCCGCTACGGCGGGAAACCGAGTGGGAAGGGGAGGGTCGACAGAAAAAAGGAAGGATGCATCGTGGGGTGAGATTTTTCTGTTTGGCCCGTGTGTTGGAGATAACATGGTGGATAGTCCGTACAACGTCATTTCTTCCACACATATGGTCTGGATTTGGAAAGTCCGGACTGTTAGACGGTTGAATTTTGAGGAGACGACTGGGTGCCAGTTTAATATCTGAATACGCCTTGACGTATGAGGGAGAAATGAGCATCAACCTTGGAGTCGACCTTAATTATCTGTTTACTTCATTTATATACTCCCTCCATCCCTATATATAGAGCCTCATGTGTTTTTCGAGTTTGTCTTTGACTATGGAAGCTTCTTTCATGTACGAATTTGATGGTATGCTTTAACACGTGGTTAAAGTTAGTCTCAAAAAATGCATTTAGGCCCTATATAGATAGATAGATGGAGTATGCATATGAGCAAAAATGCTACACCTACGTACACTTACATTCCCACCTTACGTAAACTTCCTACTAATCTCTCCACCCCCACTAGTAGAAAAAGGGGCAAAGGTCCAGGTCGAGTCAGCCCATTAGTCCCGGTTCAGTCACAAACCGGGACTAATGTGAGCATTGGTCCCGGTTCGTGCGGCTAAGGCATTAGTCCCGGTTCACCTGACCCCTTTAGTCTCGGTTTGTGTCTCAAACAGGGACTAAAGGTCCCATTTTCAAACTCTACCCCCCCTGTGGATCGCCTTTTTTGTTTCAAAAAAATCAAAAGAAAATGATAAAACTTCAAAAAATAAAATCCTTCGAGAGGTAGTTATATTATTACATCTACTAGTTAGGAAAATTTAAAAACTTAAATTTGGACATGTTTTGCAAAAAATGTAAGGAAAATGTAAAACCGCTATAATTTTTGCATACGATGTCGGGAAAAACGTATAATATATCAAAAAAATCCGCTTCCGATTTTGACAGCCTACGGCCTGTTTGCAAATTTTTAGAATCCTCAAATTCTAAAAGGAAAAAAGTTATGCTCAAATTTTAGTTTTTTTTGAATTTTTGTTAAATCTGGTCAAACTACTTATTCAAGAAGTATTAGTGTTACTAAATAATTATTCAAGAATATTAGTATTACTAAATAATTATTTCAGTTTTTTTGAATTTTGGTCAACTATGGTCAAACTATGGTCAAACTATGGTCAAACTACTTATTCAAGAAATATTAGTGTTACTAAATAATTATTTCAGTTTTTTGAATTTTGGTCAAATCTGGTCAAACTATGGTCAAACTAGGGTCAAATTGTGGTCAAACTACTTATTCAAGAAATATTAGGGTTACTAAATAATTATTGATTTTTAGAATAATAGTTTCAAACTCAAACAGTGAAATGTGTGACTTCATGCTCAAGATAAATTCCTGAGGGTTAATAGGATTGACATCTTACTATTGTTAGGAAAACAACAAGTGCAGACTTGGAAACAAGGGAGAATAGAACGCGGAAGTTAAACGTGCTCAGGCTGGAGTAGTGAGAGGATGGGTCACCGTTCGAGAAGTTAGATGATTTAGAATGATGAGGGATGATTAGAGATTAAATATTAAATTGAGCAGTGATAAAAGGTGATTAGAGATTAGAAGTTAAAATAATTCAGAAATTTGAAATTCAAAAAAACAAACCATTTAATTCGATATCCCCAACCAAACATCACCCCTCATCAACGGAACCAAACACACCCTTCAGTGTTCCATTTCCTTGAGCATTATCATCACTCTCACCCGCGCCTCCGCCACAGCTTGCTACTGGTACACTCCGCGGCCCATGACGCCCATTGATACGCCATTAGAGGGCCCCCGCTGCAAGGCTCGTGCCCATGCTCGGGGCGTCTTCACGGCCATGCCCATGCTCGCGCGGTTCGTCGTTCCCATCCAGCCTCAGCTCGACAACCTCGGCCTCGTGCGGCGTTGACTCGGCCGAGCGCCCGTCCTCACACCTTGCTGAGCTCCCGGCGGCGATGTTGCGCTTCGCCTAGTCGCCGAGGCCGACGAGGTCTCCCAAATCACGCATGCTGCTCGTGTTGTAAATCAGACAGTGATCGGCAACGCCGTGGATTTTTCCCATCGCCGTGCGCTCGCGTAGCTTTCACGCCGCGGTAGGCTGGAGGCGCCGCCCGCTCCCGCTGCCCGCCCCCTGCGACAACGGCACCTTCATCCCACCCCCCGCCGCGCCGATGACCTGCTCGAGGTGCTGCAGGGATGCCTTGTAGCTGACGAAGCCCATGAACCAGAACTCGAAGCCGTCGTCGGTCACCAGCTGGACGTACTTCTGCTCTGGCCGGTGCTGGTTCTCGCTCGGCATGGCCGCCTTCACCCTCCTCAGCGGGACGGCCACCTTGTACGGCACCCGCACCGTGTCGCCCTTGGGCGAGGTCAGCGCCAGCGACCGGTCGCTGCGGAAGGCCACCCTCTCCGACGATACGAAGAGCAACCCGGCGATCGGGCCGGCGGTCGTTGACAGGTAGCACTGCGAGGCCTTCAGGAGTTTCTCGCCCTTCTCAACAGAGAACCACCGCCGGAAGACTTTCTCCACGCCGCCGGCTTGGATGATTCTGGCGCCCAGCGACAGCTTTCCCCTCACTGTCTCGTACAGCTTTGGGCCGAGAGTCACTGCAGAAACATACGTTCAGTGTCTGATTCACAACCAGAGCTATGAACACGAAAGACTACAAAGATTTATCCAGACGGACTGGAGAAGGACTGAAGGAGGGCTTACCGTGTTCTTTGACGCCCCGAGCAAACTTGTCCCCGGTCCTGCGGTCTGACTTGCCGCCGGTACGCACGCTCGTTGAATACTTTGCATCGCCGCTCGTGAACTCGGGCTCCTCGATGCCGATAGCAGTGCTGCTCACCGGGATGCCGATCACATGCTCGTGTCCTGCCTTCTCCATTTGCTGTTGGAACGAAGAACCGAAGACTTGTTTTTCGCGAAAGAGGAGGCGAAGACTTTGCTCCTGAGTTTCCGGCCTCTGTCTGAGGCTGCTGGTGAGGTGAGTGGTGCGTGTGTGGGTTGGTGCTGGAGCTCCGTGCTCTGAATGGGAAGGAGGGGGCGCCTTTTATAAGCTCTGGATTGGAACCTGTAATTAAAAACTTAACCAAAAGCTGGATGTTTATCCAATTAGCTTTTGGATTGAACAGTCACCTACTCACCCGCGCCATTGCATGTGCATGTCACGAGTGACATCTAGTCACCCACACATGCCTGGACCATGATCGGTCGATGATGCCCAACCGACTGTCACATGGACGCACTTGGGGATGGGTGTAGAAAAATCAGGCCTCCGTAACTCTGTCGCCGGGCGGTGAGTCGTTGATCAATCCCTGTTTCTGCAAAGCATGCGACGCAACCGAATTCTCACTTTCTTCTTCAGATTATTTTTAGGTTTTCAGTGCAGTGTGTTCAAACTTCAAAGTCGCAAGAGCTTTGAGCCGATGCAATGCCATGGCGCCACGGCTATGTACACCGCACGATAGCGCACTCCCCTGCGAGCTGATTCGGCGACGGCGATGGCGTGGCAGCAGGACTGGATAAAAATTGGGCGGCGGGGCCAAGAAGAAGAAGAAGTAAAGAAGGTTCGCGCGTGCATGGAATGGAAGGCACCGTCACTACACGTTCGGTCAGTCTCACTCTCAGTGCATGTGTTGTCCCTTTTTTCCTCTCCACGCTAGCTTCACCTCCGGTTTTTTCATGGCGCGCACGTTGGGCTGAGTCAGCGTCGCGTCCGACTACGCGTCTCGTCAGCGAACCATCTCGGCGCCGGCCGGTCGTGGAAGGCCTCGAGGGTTTGGTGGCGAGCCAGCCCGGCCAGATTGCGCCACCCATGAGCGCAGCTGTCATTTCCTATCGTGAGACGGTGACCCTCCAAGGCAGAGAAAGCAGCTCGCAGATATGCATGTGCATATTGAATATGGGCGTGTGGTGCGGTTAAGGCTTCCCTGTCATCGGCGATAATCGCCTAATCTGCATTGTTTATGTCCCATTACGACCGATTTTCCCCTCAAAACCATTGCTGTGTTGCGTGGCAGTTATTTATCCAAAACCACCACATTATGGGCTAGGATAACAACTTGATACCATATTTGAGTCAGGGCACAAAAAACCATCAACTCTGCGCCTAACCTATAACTCCGAGCACTAATTCTCCGATAAGCTCACGAAAACAGTGAAACTGACAGGTTGGCCCCACTTGTCGGGCTGACATGGCGAAGACCAAAAACTTTGACCGACTGATGTGGCAAATGAGACTTGGGCCCCACCTGTCAATGACTAGAGGGTCATCTTCTTCACAACATTCTTTCTATCAGGCATTCCATCGAGCACCTTCCGTGCGTTCATCCTCTGGTCACTGACGAAGGCACAGCATGCCATGGCGCGGGGAAGGGGCGCGGTGCTCACCTTCAGCACGTATGCGTGCTCGGACACGGGGAGGTAGCACTGGAGCAACATCCTCGTGAGCGGCAGCGGCCGACGAAGCATGGTGAGGCGAGGAAGACGGCTTGGGGACTCGCAGCTTGCCGGTGTTGGCGGCCAAGGCATCAAGAGGACGTGTCGAAGCCTAGGGACTAGTTGCGAGGCGCAGGGATTCACCAGAGCAGGAGATCGAGGCACGTTGGTGGTCGGACATGAAGAAGACGACCGCGGCGTGGCCAATTTTGGACGTCCGGGTCCAAGAACTCCAGTAGGGGTGCTTAGGGAGGCATTCCGGTGCTCCCAGACAAGGTGGTGGGGCTTGGAGTGGTCTCTCGCCATGAGAATGGTGGCCGGCGGCGACCGCGGATCGGGGAGGAGCTGCTATGGGCTCCGTGGGGGTGTGGACTCCGGCGGCCGATGCGGACGCCGTACAGGTCCTGGGCACCAGATCCATGGAAGTGGGGTTGCGGGCGTCCACATCCGGAGCGAGCAGCGGCTGGCAAGGCAACCGGCCCGAGTGGTGCTGCTCGGGGCGAGGCGCGCATCGCCGGAGCGGCCTGGAAGAGAGAAGGAGGTTGATGGCGGGGGACGCGGCCTCTCGTCAGGCGTTGGGCTGCCGGCGGGGACAACCGTGGCGGCCGACCATGGCGGCGGAGGCATGGGTCCAGCCTGAGCATGGCCACTGGCGAGGTCCTTTGTGTTCGCTGGTTGAAGAGAGAAAAAAGACAGAGAGGAGGAAGGAGGAGGTGCGTGAGGATGACAGATGGGACCTACGTCCACCTCAGCAAATTGTCCAGATAGGCATGCCACATCGTCCCGACATGTGGGCCCTACCTGTCGGTTTCGCTGTTTTCGTGAGTAAATTCGACTATCAGTGCTCGGCGTTACAGATTAGCCCCATTGTTGGTGGTTTTTTGTGCTTTGACTCAAATGTGGTACTGATCTGTTACCCTAACCCATAATGTGGTGGTTTTGGATAAATAACTCGTTGCGTGGAGGCGGGGATAGAGATCGACTAGAAATCCTGGTGGTTGAGGCTCTGATTTTTAAAAGCAACAGATAATCAAAACGGATAAGTTTGAGGCCCTATTTGCTTTCAAATAAGTCACCAACTTATAAATCGAAAAATGAAAAAAGTGATTTATTTTATCAAACAGACCTAACTTATAAGTCACCTCAACTTATAAATCATAAGTTGCTTCACCCTAACTTAAAACTTATAAGGCATCCCCTTTTACATGGGTCCCATCAACTTTACATAAAAAAAAACAAGATGGAAAGATGTGATCAGGTGACTTAAATGTCAGATGACAACCAAACAGGCGTGACTTATAAGTCACTAGTTATAAGTCACCTGACTTATAAGTCAGGTGACTTATTGGAACCAAATAGCCCTGAACTGGCCTTGCATTGCATTGCATTGACCAAAAATTAAAGTATGTTGTATGCTTGCGTGAAACGAAAAGGTGTAGAGCGACTAGCGAAGGAAAAGGCAGGGAAACGAGGAAACCCGGGGATGGGAAAATGTGCGTCAGTGCGTCGTGGAGAAATTTTCATGCGTTTCGTTAAACAGATAAGGACGACACCGACGACGACGAATGTAAACATGTGAGCTGCTACTACTAGTAGCTTCTTAGTAGAGTGTTAGTGGTAGATTATTAGTGTCTGAGGTGAAAGAACCGCGTTGCATTATGGTATGCAAATTAGTCGGTGTATATATGCTCCACATGCATGGCTGACTAATTTGGCCGCCCACACCACATGCTTTCAGATTTTATTTTATTTTTTGACGAAAAGAAGGTTGCAACAGCTTCATACATTAAGCTTATTTGTCCAATATAATCTTTGTATGTGACCCACTAGAATCCCACTATGACCACCCCGACCTGGATATACGTGGTCCATTAGTAGCCCAAACACTGACAAACTCCTTTACTGTTCTTTCCTTACTCAGGGGGTGCAATGCAAGCGGGAGATCTGAAGCAATAGCACAAAACCACGGCCTTCAATCATGCCTACCACTTGCCTGCTCAAATGTCTTGCCCCTGCCCTAATAGTATCAATCTGTTCTCAAACTTTTGCCTGGAGCCGAGGGGGGCTACATAAAGCTGGCGGATCGTTGGCAGAAAGCAACGGCGCAGAAAGACATATCCGTAATTAGATCACATGAAATCGAGGCCGGGCCTCCACTCCACCATGTGCCAGATAAGGATGCAATGCCATGCATGCATGAGCGACTTGGCTGCGTCGACGTAAAAAGCTTGGGATCCGTCGACACATAAGCTTTTTGTTACGTTATTATGGGTGTCTCAGTCAAGAGCTTGCATCTTGCAGGTTGCGCCGACTGAGAGCCAAAAACAATTCGGATCGGCCGGAGCGGCGGGCGAAGGGGCAGGTCTTGGCGTAGCCGACAAGATCCTGGCGGCTGGTGGTGGTTTAGGAGGTCCCGCCGGCGCGCGCCTCATTTCGTGCTGCCGTTTGTGGTCACTGATGAATCAGCCAACCCCCAACTAGCTCGTTTTTAGTATTGATTTTGAAGCTGCATGCCGACCCCTTGATTTTTGTTGGTGCCTTGTCCACATGCAACGCGCCCTCGAGCGGTTTGTGGGGCTCCAGTTAACTTTTGCCCTGCACTGCACAAGCATAGGGTAGGCCATGTGTGATCTTGAATGATTTTTCCATTGATTAGGATGGCTAGCAAGGAGTGTTTTTCAACTTTGCTCGGCGCACAAAGATTTAGCTTCGTTTCACCCTCCCTTAGAAATATCAAACCTACTGAATTTGGGACTGGGACCAGTTTAGGTGGCGCTGTTTCCTCTCTGCAAGATGTAAATAATGCATCCTAACAAAAAGGCATCCGACAGCTATACAGTGTAGGATAGGAAGAGAAGTTATGTATATATATGCCTGGAGACCTTCAAGTTAGTAGTTAGTGGATAAGAGCATCTTCAACAGCAACCTGCAAATTTTCTCCCCGCATCCATCGGATAGGGGGGTCAGTCTACAGACAAAGATGTGGGAGGACGACATTCAATGCTAGCTAGATATATTTCGAACTTTTTTCAACAAATCAGATGAATTTCATGCAAACATGACCGGATTTCGTACAAACATGGCGGATTTCATCACATTTAGAACAAAAAGAAGACCCGCCCCTAAACCTATCCTACGGCGGCGGCGGCCGGCATCCTAGCCCGTGTCGTCCTCTATCCGCTGTCTCCACGAGCACCGGTGATCAGACTGATGAAGTGAAGGTGCGGTCTCTGACGAGGAAGAGTAGAACACGGGACACGGACTGGCCCACATGGGACACAAGGCGCCGCCGCCTCCCGTGGCCTACTCATCTCCGAGGAGTCCGCGACCTGTCCGTCGCTAGTGGACGTGAGGTCCACGGTGGAAATGGTGGCGCTGGCGTTGTCTTCGTCCACCGGGCCGGCTGATGGTTCGTCGGCGACGCGTAGGAGGCGCGGCAGGCGTTGT